ATGAAACCAAGATTGAGTTGTTTGGGAAGAACACACAACACTATGTGTGGAGAAAAAAAGGCACAGCACACCAACATCAAAACCTCATCCCAACTGTAAAACATGGCGGAGGGAGCATCATGGTTTGGGGCTGCTTTCCTGCCTCAGGGCCTGGACAGATTGTTGTCATTGATGGGAAAATGAATTCCAGAGTTTATCAAGACATTTTGCAGGAAAACATACGACCATCTGTCCGCCAACTGAAGCTCTGCAGAGGATGAGTGATGCAACAGGACAATGACCCAAAGCATACAAGTAATTCAACAAAACAATGGCTGCAACAGCACAGAATACGCTTTCTGGAGTGGCCCAGTCAGAGTCCTGACCTCAAACTGATTTAAATGCTGTGGCATGACCTTAAGAGAGCGATTCACACCAGACATCCCAAGAATATTGCTACACTGAAACAGTTTTGTGAAGAGGAGTGGTCCAAAATTACTCCAGATCATTGTGCAGGTCTGATCTGCAACTACAGGAAACGTTTGGTTGAGGTTATTGCTGCCAAAGGAGGGTCAACCAGTTATTAAGTCCAAAGATTCACATACTTTTTCCTCCCTGCACTGTGAATGTTTACGTGTAATGTGCAATTAAACCATGGCAACATCTAATGTTTGTGTAGTATTATGTTCAGCAGACTGTGTTCTTCTATTGTTGTGACTTAGATGACGTTCAGAGCACATTTTATGCCCAATTCATGCAAAACTCCACGTAATCCCAAGGGGTTCACATACTTTTTCTTGCAACTGTATATATATATATATATATATATATATATATATGTGATTTTGCGCAGCCCTGCTGCTGCCCTGTAGCAGTAGTTCTGCTATAGGGCGGTCGGTAAGCAGTTAAAGAAAAAGTTAGGAGATTACTACTTCACCAAAATGAAAGTTCAGTTTGTCCTTAAAAAAAACAAACAGATACAGTACAATTCACCCGATACACTATGAAGCTGTGATGATACATACAATTTTACCAAGGCATGCCAATTTGCAAAACTGCGTTGAGGAAACTTGAAATTTTAATAATTGCTTGTTTAGTCTGGGGGGGGGGGGGGGGTGAAAGTGCTTTTACTTACCTGATCCTCTGCTCCCCTGGAACATGGCGCTCCCCACCATGTTCCATGGACTGTCCCCCCCTTGGACTGCGGGAGCATAATGAAGAAGACGCTATGAGGACTGGTCCATCAGCACCGAGCATAAAGTAAGTAAATTTATATTAACAAGTCTGATAGAACTAAACAAGCAGTGTCTGCACTGCAAGGGATAATGTTCATGTTTCCTGGAGTTGGACTTTCAGATTTGTTTACCTTCAGGCATGAAGGGGTTAATTGTTAAGTTTAGTTCTCCAAAACACACAAAAAAAAAAACTGGGGATCACAGAAGAGCACTTTGTTCTGCAGTCCTGTTACCTGTGTGTGATCCGGATTCAGTCAACAGTGGGCTAAAGCCCGCTGTCGGCTGACATCACTGAGCCGGTTCAGACTCTCAGGCTTTCCCGCCACCCTATAGCAGATATATTGCTACAGGGCGGCAGGAGTGCGCAAAATCACATATACAGTATATATATATACACGTGATTTCGCATTTCCGGGTAGGGGGCGCACGCCCTACCCGCGCTGCCATTTGTGGCCACCAATTACCGGGTCCCAGCCAGTGATTGCCGAGCTTCTCCGACAAAGAGGAGAACTGTTTTGTTTACTAACAGTTCTCCTCCCTGTCAGCTTGGGCACACTGTTCTGGATGGCTGTGCACAGCACAGCCATCCGGAGCAGTGTGATTACAGTGAAGCACACTGACACCGCCCCATAGTAAAACCTGCAAATAGTTAACCCTTTGATCGACCCTCATGTTAACCCCTTCCTGCTCAGTGTCATTAGTACAGTGTCAGTGCTTTTTTTTAGCACTGATCACTGTATTGGTGTCACTAGGGATTTCAGTGGCACCAAGTCAGTTCCCCCCATTGTCAGAATGTCTGCCGCAGTCCCGCTGGAAGTCGCTGATCACCGCCATTACTAGTAGAAAAAAAATAATTCCACTATACCACCATTTGTAAACACTATAACTTTTATGTAAACCAATTAATTTATACTGTACTATTATAGTATTGGGATTTTTTTTGAACCAAGACATGTAGCAGAATACATTTTGGCCTAAATTTATAATGAAATTTGATTTTTAAATTTTTTTTCTACTGGACATGTTTAATAGCAAAAAGAAAATAAATAGTTTTTTCTCATAATTGTCGTTTATTGGTATTTTTATAGCACAAAAAATAAAAAACCGCAAAGGCGATCAAATACTACCGAAAAAAAGCTCAATTTGTGGGAAAAAAGGATGTAAATTTCATTTGGGTGCAGCATTGCATGACTGCGCAGTCATCAGTTAAAGTAACACAGCGTCTTAACGCATAAAATGGCCTGGTCAGGAAGGGGGGAAAAATCCTCAGGAGGGCAAGTGGTTAATGTCAGGCTCTACCCAGATGCCTGACCGGCAGCTGTTTCAGTGTGCAGAACCAGCTGCCCCCACCGCCTTCACAGCCCCGTGCAAAGGTGATTGCTGGAGGGGCAGAGCAGAGAGCCGGTGACTGACAGCCACCAACTCTCTGCTCACTGAAGACTGGGAACTGAGCAATCAGTAGTCTTTGATCGCTCAGTTCTCAGTGTAGAAGTGGCAGGGGACATATGCAGCATTGAACTGATACTGAATAAACCTAGGTGAGTATGAATGTTTGTTTTTTCATATCCTACACTTTTCTTTACATTTTGCATTTCCTACTGACGTCAATGAACTTTGCTGAAATTCTCCAATGTTGCTGAAGTTTTGGGGAGGTATAGTACTCAGAGATCCTAATTACAGAGCTGTATACAGTAAATGTCCTAGAAAGGGAAACTGTCAGCACATACACTTACCTCTCAGCTGTCCCTGATTTGGAGGAACTATCTCTATATATTGGAACCAAATCCCTCTGTCCCTTGTTACCCCTCAAATGTCCCTCTTCCTGGTCTGAGGTAAAGACCTATAAAAAAAATACACAATAGCGATATATTTCAGGTGAAACTGCATGTACATTTGTCCTGTGTGAATAGAAACAAAATCAAATGTTACTAAGCTATTTTCTCTTCAGGTTGAATGTTATTCATTCCCAAAGAATAAATTGAATCAGGAAAATACTGCATTATGGCCACTAGATGGAGCTGATGATCATAATATTATTTAATATAATTGTCAGCTCCATCTAGTGGCCATAATGAGGTATTTTCTTGATTCGCTCTATGAATGAATAACATTTGACCCAGAGAGAAAATAGTCCAATAACATTCAATGTGGTCCCATTCACACAGAACAAATACACCCAAAATCAAAAGTCTTAGAATTAACTAAACCTCTTATGCAACCCCTAAGTGAATGTATATTGTCATTCTGGGTAAATATGTGTGGGTTAACCGCTTCAGCGCCACCCTATAGCAGAAATACTGCTACAGTGTGGCACGGTTGTGCAAAATCAGGTATATATACGTGATTTTTCAGTTCCGGGTAGGGGGCCCTACCTGTGCCACCATTCGCGGCCTCGGCTCTCAATAACCGGGTCCCGGCCGGTGATTGCTCGCCGGCATCCGGTGATCGCCAAGTATCTCCGATGGGGGAGAGACCTGTGCATAAACAACACAAATCTCTCCCGTCAGCTCCTGCACACTGCTTTGTATGGCTTTGCATAGCAGACCCATACAAAGCAGTGTGTTTACAATGAAGCACACACACACAGCACACAGTTAACCCTTTGATCACCCCAGATGTTAACCCCTTCGTGACATTAGAACAGTTTCAGTGCTTCTTTTTAGCACTGATCACTGTATTGGTGTCACTGTGGATGTCAGTGACACCAAGTTAGTTCCCCCCAGTGTCAGAATTCCCGCCGCAGTCCCACTATAAGTCGCTGATCGCGGTCATTACTAGTAAAAAAAGTTTTTTAAATTCCATTATCTATACCACCATTTTTAGATGCTATAACTTTCATGTAAACCAATTATTTACACATATTGGGATTTTTTTTTTTAGCAAAGACATGTAGCAGAATACATTGTGGCCTACATTTATGACAAAATTAGATTTTTAAAATTGCTGTACTGGACATGTTTAATAGCAAAAAGTAAAAAATATTGTTTTTTTCTCAACATTGTCGGGTTTTTTTTGTTTATAGCACAAAAAATAAAAACCGCACAGATGATCAAATACCATAAAGAAAGCTCTATTTGTGGGAAAAAAAGGAAGTAAATTTAATTTGGGTGCAGTGTTGCATGACCGCGCAATTGTCAGTTAAAGTAACTCAGCGCTGTATCACAAAAAATGGCCTGGTCAGGAAGGGGGGTAAATCCTCAGGAGAGCAAGTGGTTGATATAACTATTTTTTGTGTGTTCATTCTTTATGGTGTATATTATTGGGGAGGGTGTTCCTTGACCACATAGTTTACTAAAGGTGCCCACCCCTTCCCTTTCTCCCAGAAGATTGTAAGACATTCACACAATTGATGACAAATGTATATATACAGTCCACTTCACTCCCTGTCTTAACCCCGTTACTAAAACATGCTCTTTCCTGAATGGGGAATTCATCAATATGTAATTATACCGCGACCTATTTGAAAGGCCTCTCTACTCGCTAGGCTATGCGAACTTTCTCTTCCTGTCCCTAGTACAGGAGCCATCTTCTAGAAGCCTTATACTATTATAAGGATAGGCTTTAGCCATAGAAAAATGGCCGCCGTTCAGGTCGTTTTACACTATGGAATGGAGACACAAGTTGCTGCCAATTCCCAGCCATCTTGCCCCCAAGTGTATGACAGACGCTAGGTGGGGAATGGCTTCACCAATGAAGACATTACAGAGAGAAGCCCGCCTGTCATAGTTGTGGGAAGATTTGGCGCCCCATGTGCTGGCGCTGAGGAGATCTGGGATTCCTGTCATCATGGAGAATATCAAAGCCAAGTTCGTGTCTCAGAAGATCAGTAAGACCCGCTGGCGCCCGGAGCCGGCCTCCTCTCTGCAGCAGCCGGACCTGTTCGCTGCTGGTTCCTGGGACAATGAGGTGAGTATGGCCGGAGACTGGACACAGTGACTGGGGAGAGCTGCACAGAAAACTGGGCGCCTGATATAGACAGCAATGGATTCTCCAGTTTTACCCTGACAGACATTGGGGACCAGCCAGCAAAAAGCATCGCCCTATACAGTGCCTTGAAAAAGTATTCATACCCCTTGAAATGTTCCACATTTTGTCATGTTACAACCAAAAACGTCAATGTATTTTATTGGGATTGTATGTGATAGGCTGACACAAAGTGGCACATAATTGTGAAATGGAATAAATATCTGAAAAGTGTGCCATACATTTGTATTCAGCCCCCCTGAGTCAATACTTCGTAGAACCACCTTTCACTGCAATTACAGCTGCAAGTCTTTTTTGGGGATGTCTCTACCAGCTTTGCACATCTAGAGTGACATTTTTGCCCATTCTTCTTTGCAAAATAGCTCAAGCTCTGTCAGATTGGTTGGAGAGCATCTGTGAACAGCAATTGTCAAGTCTTACCACAGATTCACAATTGGATTTAGGTCTGGACTTTGACTGGGCCATTCTAACACATGAATATGCTTTGATCTAAAGCATTCCATTGTAGCTCTGGCTGTATGTTTAGATTTGTTGTCCTGCTGGAAGGTGAACCTCCGCCCCAGTCTCAAGTCTTTTGCAGACTTCAACAGGTTTTTTTTTTTCTAAGACTGCACTGTATTTGGCTCCATCCATTTTCCGATCAACTCTGACCAGCTTCCCTGTCCCTGCTGAAGAAAAGCATCCCCATAACATGATGCTGCCATTACCATGTTTCACGGTGGGGATAGTGTGTTCAGGGTGAAGTGCAGTTTAGCATTTTGCTTTTAGGCCAAAAAGTTCAATTTTGGCCTCATCTGACCAGAATAGAAGCCACATGGCTTCTCTCAAACTGCAATGGGACTTCTTATGGCTTTCTCCTTGCCACTCTTCCATAAATGCCAGATTTGTGGAGAGCACGACTAGTAGTCATCGTATGGACAGATTCTCTATCCTGAGCTTTGGATCTCTGCAGCTCCTCCAGAGTAACATGGGCCTCTTGGTTGCTTCTCTGATTAATGTTCTCCTTACCCAGCTTGTCAGTTTAGGTAGACAGCCATGTCTTGGTAGGTTTGCAGTTGTGCCATACTCTTTCCATTTTGGGATGATGGATTGAACAGTGCTGCATGAGATGTTCAAAGCTTGGGATAATTTTTTTTCTAACCTAACCCTGCTTTAAACTTTTTCACAACGTTATCCCTGACCTATCTAGTGTATTCCTTGGCCTTCTTCATGCTGTTTGTTCACTAATGTTCTCTAACAAACCTCTGAGGGCTTCACAGAACAGCCGTATTTATATTGATATTAAATTGCACACAGGTGGACTCTATTTACTAATTTAGGTGACTTCTGAAGGCAATTGGTTCCACTAGATTTTAGTTAGGGGTATCAGAGTAAGGCTTCATGTACACGAGCAGCTCCTAAACTCGAGTTTAGGAGCTTTTGGCATGTTTTTGTGAGGTTAAACCTCCCTCTCCTGAACTCGAAAGAATCGCGTTCAGTATAGGAATGTTTTGACCATCAACCGTGGGAAAACGTGGCAACCACGGTACCCTTAAGGAGACTGAATACAAATGCATGCCACACTTTTCAGATAGTTATTTGTAATTATGTAATTTTTCATTTTCCTTCCACTTCACAATTATGTGCCACTCTGTGTTGGTCTATCACATCAAATCCCAATAAAATACATTTATGTTTTTGGTTGTAACATGACAAAATGAGGAAAATTTTAAGGAGTATGAATACTTTTTCAAGGCACTGTAGATTCACTTTCCTCCTATTGTTAATATAACATACTACTGCTTATGGAAGATCCACTCAGGCCATACTCCCATTCTGTATGATGCTGGCTTAGGGCCCATTCACACTACATTGCACATAAATAAGAGCCTCCAGTGCATTGCCTTTTTGCACATTTCCATGTGCATGTTATGGACATTTTTTCTGTGTATGGTTTTTTTTTTTTTTTTTTTTTTAAGACTTGTTTCCTCTGACCTATTGTTGTGGGTAATAGCTGTGTTTTGACGTGTTTACCGGTTGACACAGAGAAGCATAACCTTCTGGCGTAAACATGGCACATAGAAAACTATTTGTTTTTTTTTTTTCATTTTGGATAGAGTAAGGGAGGGTTATAACCACTGTCAGTTTTTTTTTGCCATCCTTGTTCCATTGAGATTTCTCTTCACTTCCTGTCCCATAGCCTAAACATAAGATGAGAGGAAATCCCTCTAACTTGAGGATATCCCTGGTTGTACCCAGATCTAGTGACCCCGTTGGGAGATTTCCCCTCTACTCTTGTTCTGGGGACAACCAAAAATTTGGGATTTTCTTTTGCTTTCATGTTTGATGGTAAAGGTAAACAGGACAAACAGAGAGGGTGAATCTTCCAAACTGGGACATAGACAGCAATAAAAACTGGCAGGGGTACTAATCCCTCTTCTTCACTCCATCCAAAGCAAAAAAGTGTTTTGCCTTTAGTTCTACTTTAATGTCTTTCTAAAGCCAAAACATTTTTTACCTTGATGCATTCACTGCATTAAAGTAAAAAAAAAAAAAAACGTTTTATTGCTGTCTGAGGGGGGAGAAGATATCCAGCACTGTGTATGGCTGCATCTCATCAACTCTCTTCCTCTTTATTTACTTATTTATTACAGGTGCTTATATAGCACTGTCAATTTGCGCAGCGCTTTATGTATGTATTGTACATTCACATCAGTCCCTAACCCTCAAGGGGCGTACAATCTAAAGTCCCTAACTTACATTCATACATACACATACTAGGGCCAATTTAGACAGGATTCAATTAACCTACCCACCAGTCTTTTAAGTGTGGGTGGAAACCGGAGTACCCAGAGGAATCTCATGCAGGCACAGGGAGAACACGCAAACTCCAGGCAGGTGGTGCTGTCGTTGGGATTTGACCCTAGTACTGCCAGGTGAAAGTGAAAGCCACTGTACTGCCGCACATAAGACATGGTCATTGGCTCCTGCTGCTGTCAATCAATTGCAATGAGGAGGGGGTGGAGCTAAACCCCTGTGTATGTTTATGGAGCGCGGCTCCATAGACACACAGCTTGGGAGAGTGTATGCACTGCGTGACTCCATAGCAAACAGCTTGTTATGGGGGCATATGAAGAAAAGTAGGAGCCAAGATCACCAGTAGGAGACCCCAGAAGAGGAGGTTCGGGGCTGCTCTATGCAAAACCATTGCACAGAGCAGGTGAGCATAAAATTTTTATTTTTAGTTAAAAATGATTTTACCGTTTTATTGTCACTTTTAACATTTAGAAGATCTACTTCTGGACATTGTTGTCCTGCTTGGGTGATTGAGATTTCCTGTATAGTGCCATCAACCTACTAGTTGGTGTGCACTGTAGAACAGTTTTCTTCCTCAACCTTTTTACACGAAGGAACCCTGGAACTAACTTTCCAGGCTCAGGGAACCCCTACAAATAATTAGGCCTCATTCACACGGCTATATAAATGTTACTGATGTTATTACATGTTTTCTAAGAGAAAAGTTCTTCCGTAATGATCAGTAAAATACTTGCACATAAAGACGCATATATGTGCATAATTTGTTTTTATGTTAATGATATTTTAATCCTTTGTTTAGATTTAATTTATGCTCCTACAAACACATATACATGCATTTATACGCATAAGCACATTTTCTTAGATGCAGATTTTTGGATTCTATGTTACGGATCTGAAAGCCGCTCATGTTTATGCACCTGTGTGAATGACTCCATTGAAAACAATGCAGCTGCATTGGGGTCTTTTTTTTTTTTTTTTTTCCCGGCTGTGTGACTGAAGCCTTGCTATATCAGTTTACAGTACATTAGTGTAATGGTCAGTTAGAAGAATGCTCCTTGAAGTGGCTGTCATTGTGAAGATTTCCCTCTTTAGGGCTCATGCACATGAGCCGAAAAAAATGCCACTGCCACGGGTGTCTGGCTTTTTTTTTTTTTTGCCCATAAACAGAACTGCAAATTATTTAATGTGGCCATGCATGTGCAGGTGTTTGTGTGTATTTATGCACAGCATTCAGGGGCATAGAAAAAAATTCCCAAAAGTTGCATTTAGAGAAGCATAATTTACACACATACATTCATAAATGCATCTACATGTACACATACTTAAATTCTAGTGACTAGAATAAACAAATATTCTAGCCAATAGAATGGCTCATACACTTAAAAATGCCATGTGCCTGTAAATGCAGATAAAGACACACAAATACAAGCATGGCAAATTTGCAAGATTGGAGGTATTTTGTCTGCCAACTTCTGGAAGCATACCTGTGTGCATGAGGCCTTACATTTAGCTAAAAAGGTCCTTGTTGATCGTGATTACTTATCTGAGAGATGGAATTTGCTCATTGCTCAAAGAACCCCTAGCAGCTTATGGAGAAACCCTATGGTTCCATAGAACTTTCATTGGGAAAGGCTGCTGTAGAGTGACAAGTGCAGAAATGCACTTGATTATAGTTAAAGAAGAGTAATATTTATGCTATATGCATGTTAATAGGGAATATATTTTCCATAAAGAAATTCTGAATCTACTATTGATCCCCCTGTTCTAATATGATTCTATGGTCATAACGTTTCTCAATTATGTGTTTTAGGAAAACAAAGTGTCCATATGGTCCACTGGAGAATTTGGAGCAATTAATATGGATGAAGATTACGTAGCAGATATAAAATTGCTGTGTGAGATCAGACACAAAGGCGATGTAACAGACCTGCAGGTATCATCACTTCTACACTGTGTTCAGATCATCTGTATTGGGGAAATATAAAGTACAATTTAGTGCTGCTCAGGTTTACAGGAGGTGACAAAAACCAAATGCAAAAAAAACTAACTTGACTTTATTGCTGAGCACCGGGCAGAAACTGTATTATTTTACATATATGTACAAATGCTTCTGTACCTTTAAATAATTTGTTGGTCTTACAGTGCATAGTTCTCTTGCCTGTCAGATACCCAGCCTTCTTTGTTCAGTGAAGAACCCTCTGCCCCTCTCATATCCTGTTTACAAGACCCGTGGCTGATATGCCCTCTATCTCCTCAGCCACTGGTCTTGTACAATCCCCACTGTAGTTCTTTGTGAAGTCTGTGGAGATGTAATCATGTTGCTGCACAGTGCAGTGGGTGGACTCAGGAGTCTCAGACTCCCATTCTGATCCACCCACTGGGCTGTGTAGTTAGCTGGTCTGTCCCGCCTCCTGTGACCTCACACATTTACAAACACTAAGATGTGTTCAGCTCACAGAAAGTGCCCTTCATCACACCCAAATCCAATAATACTCTGTGAGGAGACAATGTACAATGTGCTAACCTAAAATAGTAAGAGACTGCAGAGCAGGGCACAGCGATGTAGGTGGGTGGAGTTACAAGCCTACGAATAGCACACTTCTTAATCTACTTCACACACCCACAGTCCCGCCCACTCAGACTCTAAATCCCAGGGCATGATGGGATGTTTAGTCTGCGTAAGCTGCAATAAACACTAACACGAAGTGATGTCACCACTTCTAAAATATCTCCTCCTGGGGATTGAGGAAGCTTCTGTGTAAAATGATGACATCACCGCTTTTTAAACAGTAAGTATTAAACAAAATGTGCAGTGTTGATCAAAATCATGTCAGCAGTTTTGCTTAACAGTCTATACAGGGCTATTGTACAGAATTAATTATCATCCCGAAGTTCTTCTTTAAATTGTCAAATATTGAAAAACTGCTTTTGTAAAGCCTTATCAATTCACTGATAAGCAGCACTGAAATGAACTCTTGACTTTTTGTATCTGTAGATGTGCAGATTCTATAGCCCGTGTGCTTTAACTTTTTGTTGTCCCTATTGCGCACATGTCAGGATGGCTGCACAGTGCTTCAGCCTGTCATTGCCCAATCAATGCATTGTAGAGGTGCACACTTGCTGTAAAATAATCATCCATTCAAGAAATGGGGCTTGCAGCTTTGAAAGACTGTATATTCTAACATATAAGAGCTGTCCTGCCCTGATAGGTTCCCTTTGTGTATTTTTTAAAAGTAGATAGTTTGATTTTATTGATAGTTTTACTTTATAGAGAAACTATATTGATTTGGGTTTAAAGGTTGCCAAACCAAAAACTTTGTTTTGGATAGATTGGGACTGGATAGTCTTTTTTACTGCTATCCAAGGCTCTGCTATAGGCATTTCTCATCATTTGCTATTGTGGTGTTATACAAATTGAAAGCTGGCCATATGCTGTGCGAAGTTTGTCTAGTGAGTTGCCCTGTCTGCCAGGTTCTGTGTGAACAATTGATTTTTGTTAAAGGAGCCTTTTGGAAAACATTTTGGTTGAACAACGGCTGCATCCAATTTTTACAGCTGGCAAAACTACAAGAGCTGCAGCGGGAGATGTGTTCCTTTGCTTTGTATAGCATAGGTGAAGGAATTAATTTTTTCATTCATCTCAGATGACACCAAGATTATCACATAAATTTTAAATATCTCATAAAATTAGATGTAAATAAGTGTAAAGATAAAAATAGTTCTGAAGATAAAATTTGATCAAAAATAAATTGTACATAAATGTAAAGCAAGACTATTTGGCATTTGGCACATATTAATATTTTTGCATATAGAGGAAAAGCAGCCACTGCAAAAGCTATATTCATAACAAAATTTATGAAAGCAACTGAACTGATTAATTCCTACAGTAGTTATATTTGTATCAGAGTTGCCAGAAAGTTTTTATATCTAACATAAAACATACCAGCTTGTGGCACAGATAAAAACATACCTCATCACAGGAAAACATTTGAAACCATGACCACACAGTTCTGTATCAGATGATAAATCATAGCAAAAGTTTCTGTCATATTTGTGGAGGGTTCAGGTTTACTTGCACGGGGATGCTCAAGGGGTTCCTTGCATCCCCGTGTAGGCAGTTACATTGATTTCAATTGGGACGCCACATCAGCACAGACACTGCTCCCAATCTGATATCCATGCGGGGGCCAGTGCACAGCCCCAAATGCACACTGGGTCATGAACCCACACAGATGTCAGATTGGGAGCCTCGTCTGTGTAGCTGTAGCGTGCCAGTTGGCATCAGTGGGACTACCTACACAGAAATGCACGGTATACCTCTCCATCCCCATGCAGGTAAACATAGTCTCCCTCAGATGTACACTTCAGTATGAACTATGTCAACGAAACAGTAATATATTCGTAAATAGAACAAAACCAGATTATTAAATGTAATATAGGTCATTTTTACAATCTAGTGAATGATACTGAAGTCGTGCCTAGGCATCTGCTTAAGGATGCGTTTTCCTTGTTGATATTGAGAATAACATTTACTTGTATGAATGACACCTATCACAGTAATAGCCGATATTTTAGATGCAGCTCCCTCCTGCATGGTCAAACTACATGGAAATTGTGTCTCAGTATGCAGCAGTGTGAAAGGGCCCTCAGAGTCAGTGTAGCAGATCTCAGAAGTATTGGAATATAGATATTCTGGCAAACAAAAAAATAATCTTTGTATCTCAATATGTTAGCAGAGATTGTCTGATCTCTTCCTACATCTGCTGGTAAACCTCTCTCAAAGGAAAGAATGTATTGGGATTTTCTAAGAAAAGGTAGTGCAGAAAATGTCTTTATGCATTTCCTTTTTCCATAGGCATTAGCTTGCATACTTGTTCATTGTTGGCATAAATGTTTCTGAAGAACTTTGGTTGTTTAGACTGTGCTTGCATGTCTGATCACCATCTGATGGTTGCAGGCACTTTAAAGATCCCAGTAGTTCATTAGATATAAGATGATGGCTGGGCAAACAATCAGTATGGATGCATTTACATGGCAGTTTAGCTGCAGATAGTTTTCCGTGTTCAAAGGCAGCTTAACACTGCCTCTGGCCATAGTAACACTCTGTGGCACGGCTGCACATAAACTGATAAGCTGCGGTTGAAATTCCGTAGAAACACCAACCCTGAACCCACATTAGGTTCATCCAGGGTAAACGGAGGCTATATTTGCATGTAAACTACTCATAAACTGTGGGCAGTTCATTCCTGGCCTACAACCCGCGTTTTTTATTAGAGATGAATTCAGAGGATGCCCAAGCTCACTTCTAATCAGACAATGCCTATACAGTGTTTCTCATAGTTGCTGTGAGATTAAACCTGACCTCATTTGTCTTAAAGTTTTTAGATCAAGAAAGAATTGTGACGGCATCATCAACTGGAAAAGTATCAATCTTTCGTCACCATCAGACAAATGAGGTAACCTCCTCCTAAAAGTAGTTTTGCTGTTTTTGTTTCCTTTTTTTTTTTTTCTTCTCTTCCATTGAACTCTTTTATACTGTATTCTTTGAAATGCTCATTTTAATTTACAACTGTTGTAACCTTTTTGTATCTTACAAAGCTAATAAAAATCTAATTATACTAATTGAAACTTTGGAATAAAAAAAAATCCTGCTAGTGCAAAGGTCATATTGGCGGGCCTGTGTCACCTTTTTTAAAAATATAATATAATGGCTTGTGTTTTGAAGGAAGAATGTAATACTTTTCTCAAGAACTGTTCAGGGCAAGATATACACTATATTTCCAAAAGTATTTGGACACCCCTCCAAATCATTAGATTCTGGTGTTCCAATCACCTCCATGGCAACAGGTGTATACAATCAAGCACCGAGGCATGCAGACTGCTTCTACAAACATTTGTGGAAGAATGGGTACCGTGATAGGTTGCCACCTGTGCAGAAAGTCCATGCTTGAAATTTCCTTACTACTAAATATTTCATGGTCAACTGTTAGTGCTATTATAACAAAGTGGAGGCAACTGGGAACAGCAGCAACTCAGTTGGCCATATGTGGTAGGCCACATATAATGACAGAGCAGGGTCAGCGCATGCTGAAGCGCAGAAGTCGCTAACTGTTTGCAGAGTCAATAGCTAAAGACCTCCAAACTTCATGTGGCCTTCAGATTAACACAACAGTGCGTAGAGAGCTTCATGGAATGGGTTTTCATGGCTGAGCAGCTGCATCCAAGCCTTACATCACCAAGTGCAATTCAAAGCATCAGAAGCAGTGGTGTAAAGCATGTTGCCACCACACTCCAGAGCATTGGAGACGTGTTCTCTGGAGTGATGAATCACGCTTCTGTCTGGCAATCCGCTGAACGTCCCGTGTGTGTGTACTGCTCCAAAAAATTAAAGGAACACTTTTTAATCAGAGTACATACATACAGGGCTTGACAAATTTGCTTTGAATCTAGGAGCCAGCTAAAAAAAAAAGTTAAGAGCCAGGTGAGGGGGCAGTGTCACAGGAGGGGCGTCAGCAAGACCGATGGGAGCCAGTGGGACAGGAGGGGGAATTGTCATGGGAGGGGACAGGCGTCACAAGAGGGGAGCAGTGCAATAGGTTCACCTGAGCACATGTGACAGACATGGAAGGGTCTGGAGAAGCCATGGCAAACGTTATGCTGCCTGTAACATTGTTCAGCTTGACCGTTTTGGTGGTGGGTCAGTGATGGTCTGGGGAGGCATATCCATAGAGGAACACACAGACTTCTACAGGCTAGAGAATGGCACCCTGACTGCCATTAGGTATCAGGATGAAAACCTTGGACCCATTGTCAGACCGTACGCTGGTGCACAACAATGCCCGGCCTCGTGGCGAGAGTATTCAGGCAGTTTCTGAAGGATGAAGGAATTGATAGCATTGAATGGCCCCCCGCTCACCTGACCTAAATCCAATAGAACACCTCTGGGATAATATGGGCTGGTCCATCCGGCGCAGCCAGGTTGCGCTTCTTACTGTAAAGGACCTCAATGATGCACTGGTCCATCTTTGGGTGGAAATACTCCAGGACACCATCCGTCTCATTAGGAGCATGGCCCGATGTTGTCAGGCATGCATACAAGCACATGGGGGCCATACAAACTACTGAGTACCATTTTGAGTTGCTGCAATGACATTTCAGCAGAATGGACTCGTTTGCTGCATCATTTTTTTCACTTTGATTTTTGGGGTGTCTTTGAATTCGGTCCTCTGTAGGTTTTGATCACTTTCATTTCCATCAAACGATGTGGCATCCTTACGTACCTAACGCATTACCCAGTCCATATCAGTATAGATATCCAGCATGATATTTTTCTCCATTGAGATCTGATGTGTTTTCAAAGTGTCCCTTTAATTTTTTTGAGTGTGTGTGTGTCTTGACAAATTTGCTTTTGAATCTAGGTTAGGTGACAGGATGGGGGAAGCAAGACTGGTGGGAGCCAGCGGGACAGGAGGGGGAATTATCATGGGGGGGGGGGGGGAGCGTCACCAGAGGGGGCAGTGGGACAGCTCTCTCCTGTCCAGCAGTGGCTTGTCCAGATGTCCGCCTGGTTGGGGGGGTCGGCACTGTACTGGGGTTGTCCACTATCGCACAGGTGGCGGAACTTGGGGGGCCCCGGTAACTCCGGTCCTCTGGTAGGGAGCATGGCCTCAGTTGAAAGCGGCATTGATGGGCTCCGTGGTATGGACGGTGCGGGAGGCCTCATCCTCCACTTTATGGGCTCGGGGGAAGGGGGGTCCTGCGGTGTTCTCTAGGGGGCTTGTTTTCCTGGAGCTGTGCAGCTCTGTTTTCTACTGGTGCATGGAATGCTGGGTTTCACTCTGGGGCAGGGCACAGATGCCCGCCGAGGACATGGGGTGGGAGATAGCTGACGGGGGTCCAAGCGCCATATTTGATCCCTGCAGATTTTGTAGGTTTGCCCACTTACAAAGAAATGAAGGGTCTATCATTTTTATCAAAGGTGTATCTTAATTGGTAGAGACAGACTATCGACCCAAAAAAAAAAAAAAAAAAAAACAAATGTTATAAATTGAAGTCGCAGTTCAGTGAGTAAAATAAGTATTTCATCCCCAATCAAAACATGACTTAGTACTTTTGAAGAAACCCTTGTTGGCAAGCACAGAGGTAAGATGTTTCTTGTAGTTGGTTACCAGGCTTGCACACATCTCAGGAGGGATTTAGGTCTACTCTTCTTTACAGATCTTCTCTAAATCCTTAAGGTTTCTTGGCTGTTGCTTGACAACTCGAAGTTTCAGCTCCCTCCATAAATTTTCTATAGGATTAAGGTCTGGAGACTGGCTAGGCCACTCCATGACCTTGATGTACTTCTTATTGAGCCACTCCTCAGATAAAGTGTGGGACTTAAAGTGGTTGTAAACCCTTACATATACTCAGTGAAATGACTGATGAAACAAATCCTCCTACGTAAGTTGTACCTGTTCATTTGCAGTATTCTTTTCTCTACAGACATTCAAAGTCCAGAATTTATAAAGCTTGTCTGAGCTGTCAGGGGGGAAAAAAAAGGAGGCAAAGAGCTGAAATTGCACTCTGCAGAGCTCAGTGAGGAGAGCTCTGAGAGCTGATTGGAAGGAAGAGACCCCCCCCCCCCCCCCCAGCACCACACAGGAACAGAGCTGAGGCTGTCAATGACTTTGTGTCCCGTCACCTTTTTTCTCTTGGTGTCAGGAAAACTTGTCAGAAGTGACTCATACAGATAGCAAAGGAACATGGCAGCGGACAGAAATGACACTTGGTGATCTGGATTGAGACAAATACACACTATAGAGGGATATGCTTTGTGTGTATTTCATGTCTGAAGTTTATAACCACTTTAAAGCTTGTGCCTCGGCAAGTGATCTCGATGTATTATTACATTTGTCTCTGTTAAAGTATAAATCATTTTTTTAGTTGTAGATGAAATCTCCCCAATGAGACACAAATCCTTTTTTTTTTTTTTTTTGCTGACGGGGTTATACCCTCCCTTACTCTTTCCAAAATTGGGGGAAAAAAACTTTTGCCTTTAGTTCTTTTATACTATCAGTCTCCTAATGATCCATTTAGGGATTTCTTTATCAGCCACTTCAGTTCCCATTACTTGAATGTACAGGTGGTCCTAGAGTACATGTCCCTTTCCACCTGTAGTCATGATTTATGCTCATTCAAATTTACGCTGGTCTTGAGTTCTTTAAGACAGTTCAAATGTCAGAAACTGTCAGAATTAGACAGCTTCTATTGAAATATATTTGATGTTTTTGGTATGGTAGACTAAATTTTATTAGTAATGAAACATTTCATTTGTATATTCAAAATTTTGTGGCTTTTTTTTCTCTCAAGACATTATCGGAAAAGCAGAAGTGGGAGCACGCTCATCGCCATGTTGGCTCAAATGGTATAGGAGCACCCTGCACTGGTATTGTTTGCAACAGTCCAGAAATTGTCTCTGTTGGAGAGGATGGCCGAATAAATGTTTTCAGAGCTGACAGCAAAGACCTAGTCAGAACAATAGGTATGTTTGTATGATATGACCGAACTTTGATTATGTAATTAGCTTCAGCTTGGGCATACTGTTTCATTAAAGGTCATTTTCTTCTTTATGCGTTTTTTACCATATGCTTAGCTTTAATTGGCTAAGTTTGAGGCAGGTTAACTTGGAAGATAAGTGCAAAAAAAAATGTAGGGGTGCAACAATCATGACATTTCTGTAGAAAATCTCAATCAAATACTCTATTTCTGATAAATGTAAAAAAAAAATTCTTTCATGTTGTCAAAGCTGTGCAGGGCTGGGCAGAGATGATATTGCTTTAGTATGGGGAGAGAGGGAGGGGCTATGTAGGGATGGATGTAGGAAAGCTTGGTCTGTGCCAAAATGACATATGAGCCATCCTGGCACATACCCCACCTTTTCATTCCTCTCTCTTTATAGGCTTAACTTTTCCTGATCTTTAAGAATTGGAGCTGATGTAAATGCTGCACAAACCTTGTGTACACACTGGGCAGTTTGGAGACAGTGGAGCATTGGGACTTATGCCTATCAGCATAGTTTGTTCCATTGATTTATTTTAAAATTCAATTGTTTGTTGCAACCATGCATTTTAGTATTAAACATTGCTCATCCTTTTTAAGGGGATCTCAACTTTTTCTTTTCTTTCACCACAAATCTGATATACAGTTTAGTAAAAGGCAGCTCAGTCCTTTTTTTTTTTTTTTTTATAGCCCTGATGAGAGTTTGCTTTCCAAGGAACAAAGTTAAGTGTTATTCAGGCAATCTCCTATATGAAGCTCAAATTTATTAAAATCGATGTACAGATAATGTAGCGCAAAATGTGTTTCATTTATTTCCCAGATATTTTTATATTTTCCTCATTTATATAGTGGTCCTTTTATAAAGATAACTGTGATGAACTTTATTGAAGTTTTCTATACACCCCTTTTCTTCATTGTGCAGTTCCATTACTTTACTTTTTTTTATTTGTCTCTCTTCACGCTGATATAGATAACTAGGATAAGAGAATATGTTGCACTCGGCTAACAATATTCACCCAAATGTGTGATAAATGTTGCTACCAGAAATTGATTTAAGCATCTTTTATATTCACTTCATTACTTTAGATGATGCAGACAGCAGTGCCATGCATGCAGTTACTTTTCTCCGTACCACTGAGATTTTGACTGTCAATTCCATTGGGCAGCTGAAGATGTGGGATCTTAGACAACAGGCAATGATCCTACACAAATATTCTCTGTGTGAGTATTTATTTTAAGAGTTGAAGGGGGTAATAATAAAGTGCACCACCAATTTTTAAGTATTAAGTTTGGCGGTGAGTGAAGTATGTAAACTACACTACATTTTGTGTTCTTGGTGATTCTACTTAATGGAGCTATAACTCCATTAATTATTATTCTATAGGATTTATGTAGCGCCAACAGTTTGCTCAAGGCTTCCCCAAATAAAGGGAGACCACACAGTTACAAAACAATTCAAGACAAGAGGTTAGGGAGGACCCTGCTTGTGACCGTTTATAATCTAAAATTGATGGGCAAGTGATGCAAAAGGTGATAACGGTTTGGGCAAAATGTTGTGTATTGCTTTATTTATTTTTATTTTTTCATTTCATTTTTTTGTTTTTTTGGGGGGAGAAGGGGGGGGGGTTGCCATCTGTCTTCCATTGGGGAAATTTACAATTCACTTCCTGTCCCGTAGACAAAACAAGAAGTGAGAGGAAATCTCTGCAAATTAAGAAAATCCCTTGAAGTAACCCAGGTCACCAGAAAAAAATCTGACATTTCTGCCATTTTAAACTAAAAAATCAAAATTCTTCTTTGCAGTGTTCTGTTCCTGCAATGCAAGGGTTAGCTTTAGCTGCTCATTTAGGTCTAGGAGAGCATAAAACTATTTTACTTTACTAATCTGCTTCCTTGGCAGACAGTGATCCATCTTGTTCCAGTGGTGGACTGTCCCTCAGCATCCTCATGTCAGTGTAGGGCTGTGTGAGCAGCTAACCCTATACAGTACTGGCGTGGCCCCTGGAGGAGAAATATTGCTGAATGTTCTTCACTATTAATACCAGCAGCAGACGCTTGATGTAGTGAGTTTTCATTCTCTGCTTTCAGTGACAGCTGGGGTTTCACTTAAGGGCAGAAACCGATCTGAGTAGTTTCTGATCAGCATATCACATGCGGAATGGAGTCTCCATTGACAAATATTGAAGCCTTCAACCTGCCAGTGAACCCTGCCACATTCAGACTGCAGAGCCATTATTTAAAGTTTAATTGAACAAAAATTAAATGTATATTGCAGCTTACCAATTGTTAAATGTGTTGGCTGTATTTATTTTTCTAGTTTTTTTTTTTTTTTTTTTTCCTTTTTTTTTTCATGATGATCTGACAAGTAATACTCTTCTTGGAATGGAGGACAGGCAAACGATTGATAGGTTCTTTCCCTCCATTCAGAGATCGTGTTTCATTTATAAAAACTGTAGTGCGGCGTCTGTGAACAGAGCAGCTGGGCAGAAAGGGCAGGTATAGTTTGGCACCTTTGAGTGTCTGTCACACCCCCTTAGTTCTCTCAAGCCATGCCACAATGGAAGATTGCAGGGGTGGGAGGGCATTGGAGGAGGAAGATTTTGGTGAAAGGAGGACACAGCAGCATAAGGGACACATCTTGCTGAAAGGAAGTAACGTCCTTTGTGCTATTTTTTTTTTTTTTGTTTGTTTTAGGTAGGCTTAGGCTTTAAATCGTCAGGAGTGAAATGAAAATAAGGAAATTACATTAATCTATCTCTGGCTGATATCACACTGCCAAAGTAGAAGAAAAAAAAAACGTTACTGCTGCTCTTACTCTGAAGGGTGACTGGTTTTATATAAGCCCTCCTTCCTGCTCCTCCCTGTAAATTGTGCAGTAGTATCCAAAAAGCAGCAATATCTTTTTGTAGAAGTGCTTTGGTAATGCAGCATTGGAAATATATACTCACCAGCTACTTTATGAGGTACACCTTGCTAGTACCGGGTTGGACCCCCTTTTGCCTTCAGAACTGGCTTAATTCTTTGTGGCAGATTCAATAATAATAATAATAGTGTTGCAAAACATTCTTCAGAGATTTCGGTCCATATTGACATGATATCATTATGCAGTTGCTGCAGATTTGTTGGCTGCACATCCATGATGCGAATCTTCTGTTTCACTACATCCCAAAGGTGCTCTTTTAGATTGAGATCTGGTGACTGTGTAGACCATTGGAATACACTGAACTCATTTGTTATGTTCAAGAAACCAGCTTGAGAGGATTTGAGCTTTGTGACATGGTGCATTATCTTTCCTCGAAGTGGGCATCAGAAGATGGTACACTGTAGTCTCAAAGGGATGGACATGGTCAGTAACAATGCTCAAGTAGGCAGTGGCACTTAAATGATGCTCAATTGGGGCCCAAAGTGTGCCAAGAAGACGCCGGTACGCAGACACTACGTGATTTTGAAGTCGACAGGAGCATTCTCTGATCTCGGCTCCCCTCAAAGCGGACGGGCCGTCTATTGGAGTCACTTCGTCCACTTCAGGCTGGTCAATTTTATTATATTTGCTACTTTGTCTCACCCAATAAAGACGCACCTTCACTAAGGTGCTTGTTTGAGCGCATTTTCCACAGCGCCTACTTTTACCAGTTCTCTTCATCATGCAAATGATTAACAAGGCAGCAGTGGTGAGCTCATGATTAACTGTTCACATGTTTCCACCTGGAGTGGCCTCTCTGCGCTCATTTGTATGAGTTTCCAAGAAAACACCCCTACACCATTACACCCCCAACACCAGCCTGAACCGTTGATATAATGCAGGATGGATTCATGCTTTTATGTTGTTTATGCCAAATTCTGACCCTACCATCTGAATGTTGCAGCTGAAATAGAGATTCGCCAGACCAGGCAACATTTTTCCAATCTTCTGTTCTCCTATTTTGGTGAGACTGTGCGAATTGTAGCCTCCATTTCCTGTTCTTAGCCGACAGGAGTGGCACCCAGTGTGGTCTTGATCTTCTTCAAGGTTCAAAGTGTTGTGTGTTCAGAGATGGTATTTTGCATACCTTGGTTGTAACGAGTGGTTGTTTGCGGGATTGTTGCCTTTCTATCATCTTGATCCAGTCTGCTCATTTTCCTCTGAGCTTTGATATCAACAAGGCATTTTCCAACAACCATGCCATATTCAAAGTTACTTAAATCCTCTTCTTCCCCATTCTGATGCTCGGTTTCAGCAAGTCGTCTTCACAATGTCTAGATGCCTAAATGTAATGAGTTGCTGCCAGGCGATTGGCTGATTAGCAATTTGTGTTGCCAAGCAATTGAACAGGTGTACCTAATAAAGAGGCCAGTGAGTGTATATTGTAAGCTGAATTCCAGGCAAAAGGATTTTGAAGTGGAACTATGCTCTCTTGTTCTCCAGCCCTATGCTTCCCTGGAGCTTTGCACCCAAAACAATCCTCAACTGTTTTAATTGGTTGGCCCAAGATAACGTCGCTCCTGCTCATGAATGGGAGTTCAGTCAATTGGCATTGACAAAATACTGCACTGAGGTGCGTATTCGGTAACGTCTGGGTTTGTAAGGCATTTAGTGCACACAAAGTGTAGTTATATTTGTGGCTTTTGAGGAATATATTTAGAAGAAGGTTTTTTGTGCTTTGAGTCCACCTTTTTAATTAGTGTGTCTTAAAAATTATGTAACAAATAATCTTTTCTGTTTTCCATTTTTATCAGAGCAAATGAGAGGGTCCCTTTACACTGCTTGGACAGGCATCCAAGTCAACAGCATGTTGTAGCAACAGGTGGTCAAGATGGCATGCTATGTATTTGGGATGTTAGACAGAGCAAAATTCCAGTATCCTTTGCTTAGTGCTCACAACGCAGAAAGTAAGTTGGTAGTAGGCTTGCACCTTTAGCTTCTGTACTCATTTTAAATACAGAAAATGAAGTGCTAAAATGGGTGTCAGTTATGTAACCTACCACTTTCCATCCATTGGCTAGATTGTGTAATATTTCTGTCAATGTGTTTTCTTATAGTGTGGGAGGTCCATTTTCACCCTTCAAAACCAGATCATATATTCACATGTTCTGAAGATGGCTCTCTATGGCATTGGGATGCATCAACTGATGCTGCTGATCGACCTTCCTTTCTTCTTGGTAAGCAATATAAATTCTCTTTTGTATGAGATAAAACCAGCAAACTGGCTCATGACAATCTATTAGAGTGTGTGTGTATATAATACTGTATATGTGTGTGTAAAGCTACAGCATATATTTTAATATATGTAATGTTGTTAATTTTAAAGTGAGAGAGTACATAGTATTTTGTTATGGAGTCAGTTTCATTTTTGGTTTTATGTTCTTTTTTGTAAAGGGCACATTAAATCAATCAGTAATTATACATTGTGTACTAACTTTCCACCATTCAACAAAAGTATTCTCCTGCTGTAGCCTATCTGCTTCAAGGTTCAACATGTTGTTTGCTCTGAGATGTTATTCTGCATACCTTGGTTGTAACGAGTGGTTATTTGAGTTACTTTTGCCTTTCTATCATCTAGAACTAGTCTGCCCATTCTCCTCTGACATCAACAAGGCATTTTTGTCCTCACAACTGCTGCTCACTAGATATTTTCTCTTTTTTGGACCATTCTCTGTAAAGCCTAGAGATGATGGTGCATGAAAAATTCCAGTAGATCAGCAGTTTATGTACTCAGACCAGCCCATCTGGCACCAACCACCATTCCATGTTTAAAGTCACTTAAATTTTCTTTCTTTCCCATTCTGATGCTTGGTTTGAACTTCAGCAAGTTGTCTTCACCACATCTAATTGCCTAAATCCATTGAGTTTGCTGCCATGTGATTGGCTGATTAGCAATTTGTATTACCAAGCAATTAAACAAGTGTACCTAATAGAGTGGCAGGTGAGTGTATGTCCCCTCCAATACCAGCTGCCTGCTTTTTCTTCCCCTTTTACAATTTTAGCATGGCAGTGCTGTCAACCCACTACAGGAAGTTAGAAGCTACCTGCATTTCTGGCAGTGTTAGGTTTTTCAGCACTTGCTACATTTTTTATGAGACATAAATGGAGAAAAGTGCATGTATCAGAGTGCTGTATTAAATATTTTTTTCAATTTTGCTTACACATAGGTTTTAAGTAAAACATTTATTATTGTGTTTATTGCACACACACGCATATCATTATTTACTACCAACAGAAATCTTAACCCCTTTCAGCCTAAGGGTAAAACAAATGTTAATGCCTAAGCACAATTTTGCAACTTTGACATTTTTTTTTTTTCGTTTGGTGGTAAATGGTAATGGACATCTCTGACCCAAAAATTTAAAAAAAAAAAAAAAAGTGTTTTTTTTAAATTTAGCTGTATATTTATTGTTACCATAACCTACCACCAAAGAACAACCCAATATAAATACTCCCGCTCACAGCGAGATATGTATATGTACCCGTTGTACAGCCCATAATCAATAGTGCACATTTTGCTTTTTTTTTTTTTTTTCCCTTCCTAAAACACACTGATACCAATTTACATCCTGCCCAATATATACTGACCATGACCCTGGCACTGACCTAGATCAAACCTTGATCTAGGTGTTTTCTCTTTATTTTTTTGTTTATAGTATTTTAGTATTTTTTTTTTTTTTTTACACATTGTTTATTTTTCTCTCTGCAAGGAGAGAGATATCTTTTTCTCTCCATCCACAGAGAGAGAAACACAGGGGTGGTCTTCACAGTGACTGACCACTGTGATGGCCAATCGGAGTCTTATCACAGTGATCAGGTGACCCGGAACCGGGAGTTCTGGCTGCCGATCTTTAGTATAGGTCCAGTGGGGACCCCGTACTCCGTATATATGTGTACTCTTTGCGTCACGAGGTTAAACTGAATCAACATAAATTGCACACCTAGTGGTTTTCAAAGGATTTAAATGACTTTCAGAATTCATACCTTGTGTTGACCGGAATAAATGGATAAAATGTGTGAATCCTGGCTGAAAGTTGTATGCATTAATGTGAAAACATTTTTTAAATTGATCTTTGCATGTTGTCTACTCAACCATACTCATGCATTTTTTTATTTATTTATTTTTAAATCTGTTTTTACAGGAGGAAGAGGAACTTCACATTTGTCCCGTAGTACTTTAGGACAGTCTGTTAACCAGTCATTAATGACACCTTGGCTCAGCAGTGATCCCACAAAAGGACGTCTAGAAATTACCAATGTAATGCCCTCCTACACACTATCTGTAAATAGCCTGGATGTTTTAGGTGAATACCTTGTATGTGGCACTGATTCAGAGTCCATCTACGTTTCCAAAAACCTGTTTACATAGATTTTTGCCGAAGAATAGATTGGGGTATTGCAAGACATTTTTCCTTTGATTTGTATTTTGCTGGAAGATTAAACATTTTTATAATAGTGTGGTCTAATCTGCAGTTCATTTCTTTTCAGTGATACCATGCTCAAAATAAGTTTTCCATTTATCCTTGAGTTAAGGATTTGCAGATGCAAGTGATGTTCCTTCAAACAAATGTAGTAAAACAATGTTTGTGATTTCATGGTTGCTACGGAAAATGGAACTTTACGAAATGGAAAGACAGCTGTAAAAGAATATCAAACTCAAGTGTGTATTTGCTACTGTTAGACTTTTTTTTGTTGAACAGCCACTTTTCAAATCTAGCTGCAACAACTCCAAAATGATGGTGTCCCCTCAAGTCAATAATGAGCCCTACATTTGCCTGTTGAAATACAGAAAGTCCTACTTTGTATACTTTATTTTCTCAATCAATTTTGAATGGACTAATTATTTTAAACTTTTTTTTTTTTTTTTTAAGCTGGAGCTGCTTAAATTTCACCTTCCATGCCTCCCCCAATAAAGTTTTCCACTTTTCAATAGGAGAGTAGGTGAGGGTACGTCTTCCAGTGGGGAAACCAGTTCAGTGGCAGCTCTCTGTCTTAAGGGTAATCTCAACAGAACACAGAGAACAAAATAAAATTTGGCAGGGGTTTTAACCATTCCTTGTTCTTTTCAAAACCAAAAAAGTTATCCTAATCATAAAGTACAGGGCACAGGCTGGATATTCATAGACCCTGGGTTATGTAGGCTGCTACCCTGAGATTATTGAAAGCTGGCAAAGCTTTGTTGGACACTCTGCATGGGCGTACCCCTATAACCCTTCTCCATTTCGTGAGACATACGTTTTTTTTCTAGTGTCCTTGGGTAATGGACCTCTTCTTCCTATGAAGAGGTATTGCTGTGCTATACCATTTTTCATTTTTTTGGATACCTCACCCAACTCCTGTATTTCTGATTCTTCAGTCAACTCTTTGCTGCATTCTACTATAACATTAGAAGCAGTGCATCCTGATTGTTGTCACTTTGTTAGTAAGTTGGGAATGATACTTGGACCCCACACTTTGTAATTTTGTGTTGGGCACTGGATCCTGCGTGGACACTTGGCACTTAGTGCAGTGTGTGTAGTTAGCCATAGGGTGTTATACAAGTCAGGGCTGTGGTCCATTCCTGTGGTTTCCAGACCCTGAAAACCCATTTGGGGGTATGTTTGCTATGGTGGGCGAAGCCTGCACCCATATAGGGACATGGAAAGGCAAGACGGGTTCACCCTGTAATTACACCAATACAACGGCCTTACTGCAAGTATGAGAATGAATACTTTTTATTACTTGTGGTACACTTATATAAAGTTGTTCTCCATGTTTAATGTCCCATTTTAAATAGTTTGGGCCAAGCTGGCCCAAATTAACTATTTACTGCACTAAAAGGTGCACTTGCTGAGCATGCTGCATTAACTTTGTGTGTAGTTTCAGCTACATACCATATACAGATCTGTGTTTCAGCAGTGGGATGGGTACTTTCCCATCTACTCCCAGAACAAAATCAAGTCAGGCTGAGCAGCGATCAGCCATTCATGCGAAGCTTTGTATTCTATGAAAGCATACAAGGTTTCCTCTAGCTAAGATGGGAATCGTAACGTCACCCTCTTCTTCTATACCTCAGCCATTCATTCATAGAATACCAAGCTTCCCAAGACTGGATGAATGTTGCTCAGCTCAACGCTATTTTAAAATGCGAGTAAGATGGGAAGTTCGCGTCTCAATGCCACTTTACAGTCCTATATACTGTATGTAGCTGAGGCTACATACACTTAATGCTGTGTGCCCAGCAAGCAGAGTAGTAATTAGTTTGGTCCAGCTTGGCCTAACAAACTCTTTAAAGGGACTGTAAATGTGAAGATCAGCCTAAGTATCTCCCGAATAGGATTCGCCTTGTGCAAAAAACTGTTAGGAAATCGGGAATCTTAAATGAGTTTATTCGCTTAATGAATGTTTAAGCTTTCCAGCTTGGAGGTAAAATTCCACCATTCAGAGCTTATTCTGAGGTGGATAATTAGAAGTTGCATCACACCATAGGTCACACTAGTACCACCAGCTTCACCCAGAGCCCTTATAAGGTACTCAGGCACTTCCTCCCGCACTTTAGACATGAGAACGTGGCTAAAGGACGGTCTACATCTGGGTTCCTGTGTATTCTTCTCCAGGCAAGCTTTGACCTTATTTCTGCACCCTACTCAGCTACCCTCAGAGGAATACCCTCACTGATAGCAGTGGCGGAAACCAGGCACAAGGGAGCTGCAGCAAATGTTCAGGCAGACACTGTCAAAGGTTTGCAAAACACCAAGAGTGACTATGCTTCCTTTGCACTGAAGCAGGAGCCTATTGTAACACTGCTTTTTACATCTGATTCTAGCTCTAGAAGCGGCTTATCTGAGCAAGGCAGATGTCTCTAACTACACTATATTGACAAAAGTATTGGGACGCCTGCCTTTACACACACATGAACTTCAATGGTATTCCAGTCTTAGTAGGGTTCAATTTTGAGTTGATCCACCTTTTGCAGCTATAACAGCTTCAACTCTTCTGGGAAGGCTATCCACAAGGTTTAGGAGTGTGTCTATGGGAAGGTTTGACCATTCTTCCAGAAGCGCATTTGTGAGGTCAGGCACTGATGTTGGACGAGAAGGACTGGCTCGTAGTCTCCACTCTAATAAATCCCAAAGGGGTTGAGGTTAGGACAGGCCAGTCAAGTTTCTTCACCCCAAACTCGCTCATCCATGTCTTTATAGACCTTGCTTTGTGCACTGGTGATCAGTCATGTTGGAACAGGAAGGGGCCATCCCTAAACTTTTGGGAGCATGAAATTGTCCAAAATATCTTGGTATGCCTTAAGAGTTCCCTACCACTGGAACTAAGGGGCCAAGCCCAACCCCTGAAAAACAACCTTGCACCATAATCCCCCCTTAATCAGACTTTACACTTACAAAGAACCGTTCTCCTGGCAGCTGCCAAACTCAGACATGTCCATCGGATTGCCAGACAGATTCGTCACTCCAGAGAACTTGTCTCCACTGCTCTAGAGTCCAGTGGTGGCGTTCTTTACACCACTGCATCAGACTCTTTGCATTGCACTTGGTGATGTAAGGCTTGTATGCAGCTGCTCGGCCATGGAAACACATTCCATGAAGCTCTTCACGCGCGGTTGTGCTAATCTGAAGGCAACATGAAGTTTCAAGGTCTTTAGCTATTGACTCTGCAGATAGTTGGTGACTGCTGCGTACTGCGCTTCAGCATGCACTGACCCCGCTCTGTCATTTTTTCGTAGTGGCGTTGCTGTTGTTCCCAGTTGCTACCACTAACAGTTGACCGTGGAATATTTAGTAGTAAGAAAATTTCACAGATTGGCTTATTGCACAGGTGGCAACCTATCACAGTACAGCACTTGAATTCACTGAGATCCTGAGAGCAATACATTCTTTCACAAATGTTTGTAGAAGCAGTCTGCATGCCTAGGTGCTTGACTTTTATACACCTGTGGCCATGGAGGTGAGTGGAACACCTGAATCCAATGATTTGGAGGGGAGTCCCAACACTTTTGGCAATATAGTGTATGTCAGACTATCTCGGAGAGTTAACAGCCTTAAAATAGCCATCACTGCCCAGAGCTCAAAATGCAAAGGTACTTCTCCATCTCTACCTTTTCTATGTGAGTCTCGCTCATTCAACAGGTTACTGCCACTCTGCAAGTGGTAGACACAGGAGATTGAAGAGGACCTACAGTCCATGCTAGAGGAGGCTGCATCAGATTTCTTACCCAGGCTCCCATTTTGGTAATAAGAGACATGGAAAGTCTCAAACGACATTCCCCATTCATGAGCAAATAGAATGAGCAACTCTTGACAATTGGTATACTTTTGAAGATGTTTTCACTCCTCTGAAAATAATTGCCAAGCTATTATATTCAGTTATATAATTCACTGAAAAGTTGACTGTTGCAGTAGTAGATCCTACTAATCTTAAATAAACATCCTTATGTGCCTATAGAAGATGTTCCTTAATTTAAAAATTCTGCAGATACATTTGAGATGCTCTGTTTGTTCTTGCAGACCCAGCTTTCCAACCAGCTAGTGCTACAATCTCTGTTTGTAAAACTGCAGCTAATTTGACTAGAGAAATGAATCAACAAGATCCTGTATTCCATTACCTTATTCTGGTAGAACACTTGCAAACATTGTCTACCGCCTTCATTTTCAGTGTTGATGCACTAGAACAAGTCATGACACAAATTTTAAGTATGACTAATTTCTGTCCATATGTTCAGAATATTATGGCTAAAAGCCTGAACAGTTGAAGTTACTTGTAAAAGACATCTCATTCATTTTCCCCTTGAAGGAGGACATCTCTTTGGTGATCCATTTGACATGTCTCTTAATGAGGTCACAGAGGGAAAGGTACAAGGTTTCAAAACCCCCTCCTTGAGGGATTTTACCTCCTTTGAATGAAGAGTGTCCCATCCCTTCCCCCAGACTTCATCTTCAAAGCCACAATTCATCCCTTTCTTTGGATACAAGACTTGTAACACAAAGCTCACTGAATCTGCCAAAAAAACTCTCAAATTAAGGGATGTCCTCACCGATGTTCCAGACCTATGGGTTTAATCAGTGGTTTCAAAGGGGTACAAAATAGAGTTTCAGACTCTACCCCTTCATCCTTTTTTTTTTTTTTTTTCTCAAACCTTCCAATAGAAAGGTCAGATTTGCAGACTGCCTTCAACCATCTCTTATCCCATGGAGTGGTCATTCTGGTCTCTCTAGAGCAGGGGTCTCCAAACAATGGCCATACAGCTGTTGAATTACTGCAAGTGCCATCATGCCTCTGGGAGTCTTGCCTGTTGCTGTCAGAGTCTTGCAAGGCCTCTTGAGAGTTGCAGTACCCCTGCTCTAGAGAACAAATGTAAATTCTAGTCATACCTGTTCA